CCAAAGTCGCCCAGCGCATCATTCTGGCGTGGGCTCGGCTGCTGGTGCTCCCCGAAGGCTCGCCCGTCGCGCCCGCGGTCCAGGCGGCGCTGGCAAGCGGCAGAGGCACTTGGCTCCAGGAAGCAGCCGCGGTGGCTCGGAGCTTCGGGGTGGGGCCGCCGCCCGACGAGCTGAAAACCGCGGCGGCGGAGGGACCGGCGGCCCGCCGCAGGGTGGTGCGGCTATGGGCGCGGTCCTGCGTTATCCCGCGGGTGCGGGAAGCGGAAAGAGTGTGGTTTTGCGAGCAGCTGGCCAAGCTCAACGACACGGGGCTGCTGCCGATCGCGGCTGTCCTTCCCCTGCGGCAGGCCTGGCCGGAGGAGCTCCGTTGGGCCTCCTGGGGCCAGACCCAATGGAGGTTCCACCGCGCCTGGTGCGTGGCGCGTGTCACGTCCGAGCTGCCAACTGCCATCTGGGGCGTGGGGGCGGCCCGCCTGCCGACCACCTGTGCCTTGTGCGGCCGAGAGCCGGCTGGGCTGCACCACCTGCTGGTCCGGCGCTCGGGTTCTGATGCGCTCCGTGCCGCCCTGCTGGAGGTATGGGCGCCGCCGCCGGGGCTGGCGGAGTGGGTGCTCGCCGACACCGACGACCTCGGGGAGCTCGCGGCGAAGGTCCGCTACCTGGGGCTCTCCTGCGCGGCGCTGGTGCATGCCGCGCGCAGGTAAAGATGCCTGCCTTCCCCCGACCTGCCGCGGCTGCTGCCCTCCTCCTCCCCCTCCCCCTCCCCCTCCCCCTCCTCCTCCTCCTCCTCCTCCTCCTCCTCCTGCTCTCACCCTCCCCGCCCTCCCTCGCATTCGCGCTGAGCGAGCCTGCAAAGCCCGCCCGACCACCCGGCGCCCTGTCCCACCTGCGGGGGGATCGGCCCCCGGGCGGCGGGGAGGCTGCGAGGCTCGCCCGGCGTTAGGGCCGGCCCCGAAGGGAGCGCAACGCACGCCGCGCCTGCCCGGCCCGCCCAGGCCCTCCGGGGTGACTGGGGGGCCCGGTGGCCCGGGCCTGCAACAGGCGCATCCCCGGAGGGCCCAAGCCCGCTGCCCCCGCCGCGCTGGCCCATAGGCCCTCCGGGGTGGCGGCGCTCGGGGCGGGGCGGTCAAGCCCCGAGGGGCCTTCCCACACCTTGGCAGTCCATATTGGCAGTCCCCTCCACGCTCCGCCCTCCCCCCCCCGCCGCCTCAGCGCCCCCCCGCGGCTCCAGCGCCCGCCCAGTGCCCCCTCCGCCCCGACCGCTTTATTTCGGCACCGCACCCACCCCCCGCTCCGCCCCCTCCCCCGCGCCGTCTCATCGCCCCCCCGCGGCTCCAGCGCCCGCCCAGCGCCCCCTCCGCCCCGACCACTTTATTTCGGCACCGCACCCCCTCCCCCGCTCCGCCCCCTCCCCCGCGCCGTCTCAGCGCCCCCCCCGCGGCTCCAGCGCCCGCCCAGTGCCCCCTCCGCCCCGGCCATTTTATTTCGGCACCGCACCCCCCCTCCCCGCTCCGCCTCCTCCCCCGCGCCGTCTCAGCGCCCCCCCGCGGTTCCAGCGCCCGCCCAGTGCCCCCTCCGCCCCGAACCAGACTTTATTTCGCAACCCCCGCACCCCCCCCCTCCGCCGGCCGCCTCCCCCGCGCCGTCGAGCGCTCCCCCGCGGCTCGAGCGCCCGCCCAGTGCCCCCTCCGCCCCGACAACCCCCCCCCATCCTCCGCCCCCTCCCCCACACGTCTCAGCGCCCCCCACGGCTCCAGCGCTCGCCCAGCGCCCCCTCCGCCCCGCCCACTTTATTTCGGCACCGCAGCCCCTCCCTGCCCCGCCCCTTCCCGGACACCGTCTCAGCGCCCCCACGGTTCCAGCGCCCGTCCAGTGCCCCGCGGCCCCAGTGCCCGGCCACTGTCTTTCCTGCCCCGGTGCGCCCCTTTCGCCCCTTCCCCCCAGTGTTCCCCGCGGCCTCAGCGGGGCCTTCTCCGCATGGTTTCCTTCCGCCCCGCCCATCTTCTTTCCGCCCTCGCGAAGTAACACACGAGCGCCACAAAACGCTTAGGACATCGGGGATCCGGGTCATTACGAAATTGCAGCAGCTGAGTCCGCTCAGTAATTTCTTCCAGCCCTCCTTGGACCCTGGAGGCCTCCCCTTGGAACCCTCTGTAGGCTTCTCGGGCGTCAGTTGGAGGCTTCCTGGGAACCCGTCAAAGGTCTTTGAAGCCATCTTGCGGGGGGCGGCCCTTGGAGTCTCCTCGCGCTCGCCCTCTGGAGCCCCTCTTGCGGCCCTGTTTTGTTCACTCCTTCTGCGATGTCTGGCATCCTCTCCCCCCCCCCCCCCCCTCCTCCTCCACATCCTCCTCCTCCCCCTTCCTTTTTGTGCAAGAGCCATGGCGCACGTGCCACTTGTTTCGTGGACGGCACTGCAGGTGGTGATTCGCAAACAGTGGGGATGCGACGGGGAGGTCCCCAGGCCACCTTGCGAGCAGGCCAGGCCCATTGTGGTGGCACGCAGTACGGACCATGTCCTGGCTTACTGCGCCAGCCTCGGGCGGTGCCGATGTACCCAATGCGGAGTCACGGCCACAACGGGCTCCTCCCTCGAGTCGCTGCAAACTGGCTATCATTGTGTATGTCGCCCTTCGCGTGTTGCCAGTGCTCTCAACGCCGAGTACTTCCGCGCCTTCGGCGAGGGCTGGGTTCTCTGCAGCGACCAGGGGGTTGGCATGGCCCTGGGCGCGGCCTTGGCGCTCGGAGGGAGCTCACAGCCCTCGACCCCCGCAGCCTTGTTGCCACCTGCCCTGGCCGAGGAGGTCGGGGGCGCCTTCGCCGCGCTTGGGCACGACGCGTTCAGGGGCAACAGCGTTTACTGTTGCACACGCTGCGGGTGTCACTCTGCTGCGGGAGATGTCCGTGCAGTGCGGAAGCTTGGCTTGAGGTACGATGGGCTCTAGCCCAACGAGTCCACGTGTAGCGACCAGCAAGATGCGATCAGGCGCGTCGAAACTGGCCGGGCGCCAAGTGCCCGACGTACCCCAGCAGCGCCGCCCCCGCAGGGTGGCTCCTCTTGCAGCCACGCGGCGCGATTATCGACCATGTCGTGATTCGCTGCCGTCTTGTGTTCGGCTGTTGGCACGGCGTCTTCTTCGGCCTCGGCGCCTTCTTCGTCGGCGGCAAGTTGGCCGTCGTCCACGGCCTTGAGGGTGACTTCTTCCAGCTGCTCTCCTTCTACATTGCCTCCTGCTCTTACGGCACCGTGCCGCGAGTAGGCGGCGCCGGGGGGCATTCCGTCGCGCGCCCGCGTGCGCGGCGGGAAACCTTCCTGAGGCGCTGCGCTCCTCCTCCTCCGCCCCCTCCTCCTCGTCCTTTGCCTCTCCTCCTCCTTCTCATCCTCCTCCTCCTCCCTCCCCCTCCTCCTCCTCCTCCCCCCCCCCTCCTCCTCCTCCTCCTCCTTCTCCTCGTGCTCCTCCTCCTCCCCTTCCTCCTCCTCCTCACCATCCTCGTCCCCCTCCTCCTCTTCCTCCTCGTCTTCCTCTTCCTTATCCTCCTCCTCCTGCTCCCCCTCATCCTCCTCCTCCTCCCCCTCCTCCTCTTCCCTCTCGTCCTCCTCCTGCTCCCACTCCTCATCGTCGTCGCCGTCCTCCTCCCCATCCCCTTCCTTCTTTTCCTTCTCGTCCTCCTCCTCGTCCTCCTCCTCCTCCTCCTCCTCATCTTCCCCCTCCGCCTCCCCCCCTCCCCTCCCCTCCGACGCGACAGCGCAAACCTCCTCCTTCTCCTCCTCCTCTGCCTCCTCCCCTCCTCCAACCATCCCCTCCTCTTCGTCCTCCTCCTCCCCCATTACCGCCGCCTATTTTCATTTCTGCTTCCTCTTCCTCGTCCTCCTCCCTCTACTCACCTTCCTACTCTTATCTTCCTCCCTCCGCCTCCTCCCCTTCTCCTCCGCCTCCTCCGCCCTCCTCCTCCTCCTCCTCCTCCTCCTCCTCCTCCGTGGCCATTTTGGCTCAAGCCATTTGGCTCAAGCGGTTGCATGCCCGCCGCGCCCGCCGCGCCGCCGTCCCTCGCGATGGCTGATGCGCGGGCTGCGCGGGCTAGAGGGGGCCCTCCCGACGCTCGACGGCGCGGCGCTCGTCGCCGCCGCCGTCCGCGCCGCCGTGGGCGGCCGCGCGCCGCGGCGCACCGTCGCCGTTGTCGCCCGCGCGGCGGTGGCTGCCGCGGCGTCGGCCGCGGTGGCCGCGCCGCCCGCGTCGGCGGCTGGCGATGCGGGCGCCGAGGACGTGAAGAAAAACTCGCCCGTCGTCTCGGAGGCCAAGCTGGCGCGGCGGCGCCGCCGCCGCCAGCGCCTCGCAGCGCGGCGTGTGGCTGCGCGCGCCGATGGCGGGGCCGACGGCGGCGACGGCGTGGAACCCATTTCGGACGTCGAGTCCGACGAGTGGGCCGACGGCGCGGGCGGCTCGGCAGTGGTGCCGAAGGCCGCCGCGACCAAGGGGGCGGCTGCGGCTGGCGGGGCGGCGGTTCCTGCGGTGCCTGCGGCTGTGGCGGCTGGCGGTGCGGGAGCGGGTCTGGTGGCGGCGTGCCCGGCGGAGGTGGCGGTGGTCGGATCCCGGATGCGCGTGCGCGCTGCTCCGGGAGGGCCGCTCTGGTGCGCGGGGCGCGACGGCTTCGTCGGCGTGGTGACGCACTTCGTCGACGACTTCGCGTACGTCGCGGCCTTCGGCGGCGGCGACGGCAGCGGGCTGGAGTACACCGTCAACCTCGAGGTGGTGGAGCCACCTGGTGATGGGCATCGTCGGCAAGGATGAGTCCGCCGTCGCCTACATCACGGCTGGGGGTCTTGCCCGAGGTGGAGGGCGGGCCCCCGCAATTCGGGAGGCGGCCGTCAGCCCGCCCCCTCGATGCGCGCGGATCCTCCTCCTCCTCCTCCTCCTCCTCCTCCTCCTCCTCCTCCTCCCCCTCCTCCTCCTTGTCCTCGTCGTCGTCCTCCTCCTCCTCCTCCTCCCTTTCCTCCGTCGGAGGAGTACTGGCCGCCTGCCTCGACTGGGGCCAGCGCCGTGCTCGCGGCGTCGAGCCTCCTGCACTGGGCGCGCCCACCGCGGGCCGGGCCAGCCTGCCGCCCCTGCCCATCCCCAGTGCGAGGAACGGGCCCCAGACATGATCGCGTGATAGAAGATCCTGACGGGAGGCTTTTTGACAATTTCGGCCTTGGGGGGCTCTCGGCGGGCCTCGGTACCATCGAAAAAACGGCTCAGGATGAAAAACCGGTCCCGGGGCACCGCATTGAAAATATCTGGACGCCACATGTTTTGGGCGTCGGAGGTTTGAGGGCTAAGCTTTCCATGTCCGAGGTTCGAAATGCACGGTCGCCTCAAAGAGTTGTCGAGGCTTTGCAGCCTCCGGATGGTCTCCAGCAGCTGCGCCTCGCTGAGAGCGTCCGGTGGGTGCCCGAAGCGTCCCGAACGACTACCGGGGACCCGCACACGTCCGACGTGTGTGTGGTGTGTGTATTTTATATATAATGTATATTATATATATATTTATTAGTATATATATATATATATATAGATGTTTGTTCCCCCCTCTTGCGCGCCAGACAATTCGCGTGTCGGTTGCCCCGAATAGCCAAGCGCTGGAGCGGACTACCTCTGCTTCGCCACCGACGGAACAAGTGTGTGTGTGTGTGTGTTCCCTTGCGTATTCGCCCATGCTGTGCTTCCGCATACCCGTAGCGCGACCTAGCGCGAACCAAATTGAGACCTCGCTCTCCCTGGGGCCTGCGAGCTGCGAAGCCGTCACCAGTTTCTTGAGCTTCCGGGGGGTCCCGCGCATTGCGGTGCTCTAGGCCAGAGCTGGACCTCGCCGTCCACGGGGGCTGCGAACTGCGAAGCTATTGTCATTTTCGTGGGCGCCTGGCGGGTCCAGCGTAGTGAAGTCCTGCGCTGACCCAAACGAGACCTCGCCTTCCTAAGGGGCTGCGAAGAAGGAGCCGTCGCCTGTTTCGTCGGCTCCTGGGAGGTCCAGCGCAGTTGAGTCTTACGCGGACGCAGACAAGACCTCGCCCTCTTCGAGGGGCTGCGAATTGAGCACTGTAGCCACGTGTGTGGGCACCCGCGGGGGCTAACAGAGTGGTGGCCTACGCGGATTCAAACGGGACCTCGCCGCCCTTGAGGGTTGTGAACTGTGCAATGGTAGCCACCTTCGTGGGCTCCTTGGATGTGCAGCGGAGGGGCGTCCTATCCAGGCCCAAGCGAGACCTCGCCCGTCATGCTCTCTATCCCGTCCTATGTCGTTTCCGTCTTGTCATCATCATATGTTTATTCCGCTCGTCTTGTCATACCATAGTCATCCCAAGTACTTCCTCGCTCAAGCCTGTCCCGTGAGCCGTGCAACGCGTAAGCATCCCAGTCGAGTTGTATCATTCATCGCGTTCCTTGTCAGGTCGTCACCCGTGGACACGAGCTGCAGCTGGGCTGGGAATGTCGCCAGGGTAGCTTTCCCAGCTGCAGGGGGTCCCGTCTGTGCGGCCCGGGACGCTGGCGGCATGCGCTCCGAAGAACACGGGAGAGGAGGGGGAGGAGGTGGAGGAGGAGGAGGAGGAGGAGGAGGAGGAGGAGGAAGAGGATTCTGGGTGGCCTCTTGGGGTGGAGGCCTCCTGGGGTTCCTTTGGTGGCCTCTTGGGGGCCTCTTGGGAATCGCTGCTTCTTCTTATGAGCTTCTCTTGGGGGCCTCGTCGGGTCCATCGTTGGCCGTCTTTGGAAGCTCATGGCCCAGCTGACGCCGTCGGAAGCCGTCTTGCGCACATCTCTGCTCTGTCTTGGAACCCTCGGCAGGCGTTGTAGCGCTGTCTTGGAGGCCTTCTGGGATGTAATTGTCTAGGCCTCCCAGATGGTGTCGGTGTAGATGGGGTCGGAGGATCGCACCGCATCGCCGATGCATCGGCGATGCTGCTCGATCTGGAGCCCGATTTTCTCCACGCCGATGGCGCCGATGCCTCGCCGACATCGCCAATGCATCGCCGATTTGGCGCGATCCTCCGACCCCATCTACTCGGACCCCATCTAGGCGGCCTCTCAATGGGGGTCTCGTGGGCTGCACTGGTGCCCTCTTAGGCCGTCTTGGGGCTCTCTAGGGGGCCTCTTGGGGTCCTCTTGGAGGCCTCTCGGGCCGTCTTGGATTGTCAGAAGCGCGGGAATGTGAGGATGCCAAGTTGGTTCTAAAACGAACGGAAATCATATATTTGTGTTGTTTGCCCCCCGTCTCTCCAAGAGGGTTCCTTGGAGCCCTCTTGGGCCATCTCGGGGGTCTTTTGGGTCGTCTTGAGTCCAGCGGGTGTTTTCTTGGGGCCGTCTGGGCCGTCGTGAGGCCATCTTGGGCCGTCTTGAGGCCATGTTTGGCCGTCTCGGGGCCGTCCAGCCATCTTGGGCCATCTGGGGTCGCCAGAAGCTCCTGGAGGCCTGGGTGTCCGAGTCCACCAGCTGAGAGGCATTCCCAAGATCTGTGCTGGTGGGGACCCGCGCGCCCACCACTCCCTGTATGCATCGAGCCTGCATCGCCGCTCTCTTGCCTCTCTCTGCCCAGCCCTACAGACTTCTGACACGGCCAAGGCCACGCGGCGCCCTTGAGCTCGAACTCTGGGGGCCCGCCGTATCGACGCTTCGGGCGTCTCCGCCAGCGCAGCCAGAAGCGACCCCCGCGCGAGCTGCCTTTGTCTCCCCCGACCTCCGCCGATCCGATTTTGGAATCCGCGGCCCCAGAGGTCCCGACCGCTTTCCCGGGGATCTTTCGTACCTGGTCCAGTTTCGGTAGGCCTGGGGCCAGAAAGCCGAAAGAAAGACTTGTACCCCAGATTGAAGGATTGTGCCCCAGATGGCACCCCGAAGACCGAAATCTGATCGTCCCCTGGAGGCCGAAACGAAGGAACAGAAACCTCGGATTGAAAGGGTCATGCGGTCAGGAGCTTTGGCTTAGCGTGTCGTTCCGCCGGTTCTGGCCCACCGCGCTTCGGCGCGACGCTACCTACAGTCGAGCCCCTGAGTTAGACACCTCCTCCTGACAGTGAAGCTGGGCCAGCGTTTCTTGACCAGCTTGCTGGAAAGCTGGCCCAGCTTCTGGAGCACGCTCGCCCCTCCAGCATGAACCACAGAAATCGGCCCGGGCTTGTTCCAAGTTCAGGAAGCTTTCGCCCAGATGTCTTCCATAGCAGCACCTTGATCGCGTGTTCGGCCTGTACATCCTGGCCCCCGCGCGACAGCGTCCCGAGCCTCTCCCAACCTCCCGCCGCGCGGAGCGGCGAGGCACGCTGTCCGCCTGCGGGGCACACCGTGCCGCTGGCTCCCCCGCCGCGGCGCGCGATCCAAACGCTCCTGGCCGTGCGTCTGAGGTCCACACAGCCGGGCCGAGGTATAAAAGATCGAGGCAGGTTCGGGGAGGGTGCTCGGGGGTGGACAGGACCCCCCACCCTGACACGTGGATTAGTGAATTGTCCGTTGTCGGTTCTCGAGAGGGCGAGGCGGCCGTCGTTTTCCAGGCTTGCGCCCGCCAGGCTTGGGCCCGAGGTAGTTTTCACTAAACCACGTTTTACTAAAGGGGGTTCTGTCCATCCCCGAGGTACCCTAGTGTTCTTCGGTTCGTTGGTTTGTTTTTGTGCATCCTGGGGAGGGTGCCCTCGGACGTTCTGCTGGCCTTGGTCCGACTGCATTGTCCTCCGCCAGCCGAACCGAAGCAATCAAGTCGGGAGTGAAGCATACATGTCTTTCATCTGACGGTGCAGGACAGATGCAAACGTCGCAGCGCGAACACCACTGGAGCTCCAGACCCCATCTTCGTGCTGCATGTGTCGAGCTGGCTCGCTCCGTGAGGGCCTGTCCCCAAAAACGCCGGGCGCGGCAAGCAAGGAGACGCCAGGATCTCGAGGAGGAGGAGGAGGAGGAGGAGGAGGAGGAGGAGGAGGAGGAGGAGGAGGAGGAGGAGGAAGGAGACGCCAGGATCTCAAGGAGGAGGAGGAGGAGGAGGAGGACGCCTCGAGGCTCCAGGCCGCCCGCAGCTCGGCGGAGAGATGCCCCGCCGCCCCGCGCGGCCGCACGGCGACGCCGCGGCCGCCTCGGAGGCGCAGCTCCGCTTCGTGCTGGCGCCCTCCCTGCGGAGCCCAGGCGGGGGCCCCGGCGGCCCCGCCTGGGCCGAGGTGGCGCAGGGCCTCGCGCGCGCCGGCATCGCGGACAGATCCGAGGAGGAGGAGGAGGAGGAGGACGAGGAGGAGGAGGAGGAGGAGGAGGAGGAGGAGGAGGGGGGAGGGGAGGGGGAGGCAAAGGTACCCAGAGGTGATCGCGTCGTAAACAAACAAACAACGGACGGGAGGTTTTTGGCCGTTTTCGGCCCCAATGGGGGCCCTCGCCAGGCCCGGGGACCGTCGGACCACGATGCGGGAGGAGAAGCCGGCCCCGGGGAAGGAGTCGGGGCTTCCAGGGGCCCCGTGCTGAAAAAATCAGGACGTCGCATGTCCGGATACCGATCTGCCGATCTGCTCCACACCGGCGTCGCCGACGCATCGCCGATGCATCGCCAAGGCATCGCCAAGGCATCGCCAAGGCATTGTCGATGCATCGGCGATGCATCGGCGATACGGCGCGATCCTCCGACCCCATTTATGGTAGGTTCGCGTCGTTTCGACTGGCGGCGACCCAGCCGCCGGCGTTCAGCGTGGGACGCCGCTGGCGACCCGGAATCGGGCGATACTTACCGATCTGACGTTTCCGAAAGAGCCGATCGCTCAAGGTTGAACAATCCCCGCGGTGTGAGAGACCAACGCCGAAGTCGGCACGACACGAACCTGCCGTACCGATACTGGTACCCCTGCCGTACCGATACCGCTACCCCTGCTCGACTGTGCCCTTTTTGGGCTTCCTCGGAGGCCCTCGTCGCCACCGCTGGAATCGCCTCGGAATCCTGGTCAGATCAGCCACGCGCAGAGGGGCAGGGGGAGGGCGGAAGGCTCCCTGGAAGGCACGGGCCTCGTCTGCAGATGTGGGTAGGGACAGCGCCTTCTAAGACGCCTCCTCCTAAGCAGCCTCCCCCCCTCTCCCTACCCCCCTGTGCGCGCCGGGGAGCAGCGGCATCGGCACCCGTAGGCCTCCCCAGGACAGCCTCGCGCTGCGCCGAGCCGCCTGCCGGCGGCTGGCCAGGGCGCCCGACAGCGGCGCGGGGGAGGCCCCCGGCAACGGCGCGTGGCAGCTGCCGGGCGGCGAGGAGGAGCTTGGCCACGCGCAGCGGCGGTTCTAGGGGGGAGGGGGGAGGCTCCTTCGAAGCACCCCTGCTTCTTAGAAGGCGAGGGCCCTGTCTATAGATGCAGGGCTGGCGCCTCCCAAGACCCGACGAAGGCATCTATACACCACCACCGTGCCAAGCCAGGGCCATCCTGGGCCCTACGGAGGTGTATAGACCCTTCTGGCCTCGGCCAGGAGGGCGTCTACATCATGCCAGGGCCAGGATGGCCCTGGCTTGGCACGGTCGTGGTGTATAGATGCCTTCTGCGTATAAGAAGCAGTCTCCCCTCCCCCTGCCCCCCTCTGCGCGCCGCCAAGGAGCTGCTGGGGCTGCTACGGCGCATCGCGAGCTTGGAGGCGCTGATCGCGGTAGTCCACGCGCAGTTCGCGGAGCCCGCGCGGCGGCGGCAGGCCACGTCGGAGCTGCTGTCGGCAGGGGTCGGCTCGCTGGGCGCCATGTCGGCGGGCTCGGGGTCGCCCAGCCCTGAGCTCTCGGGCGACCTGTGGCAGCACGGCGCTCTGGAGCAGCTCGCAGAAAGGGCCACGCGAGCCGAGGCCAGGCAGCAATGCGTCTGGAGCCGCTGCGCCATGGAGGAGTTTGGAGTCCGCCCGGTGCTGGTGACCGCGCCCCACAATGCGTACCTGCTCAGGGACGGGCAGCAGGTGCACGTCCTGGAGGAGTACACCTCCTGGATTGCGCGGGCGATCGCCCGGGAGCTGACGGGCGCCACGATCTGCTGGACCCAGCAGGCACAGTGGCACACCGAGATGCTCCACGCGCTGGGCCAGCGGCGCAGGCTCCTGGGCAAGGCGCAGAGCGCCGGAGAGCTGCTGGACCCGCGGAACCGGGACCCGAACTACTTGCTCCCCAGCGAGCTGGCTGGCAACCCGTGGTTCCTGAAGCTGCGCGAGTGGGCGTCGCACGCGCCGCCGTCGCGGGCGCTGCACCTGGACGTCCACGGCTGCCGGGACCCTCCGAAGCACCCCGCGCACGCCATGCTGGGGTTCGGCGCCATGCGGCAGCATGCGGAGCGGCTGCCAGAGCTGGAGCGCCGCGCTGGCCTCGACCGCGTGGGCGCTTTCGCGCGGGCCCTCGAGGGCGGCGTCGGCGCACTGCTGGCAGGCCTCCTGGGCGTGCCCCCGGGCGAGGCCGTGGTGATCACCGGGCTGACGCAGGCCCAAGCATTGGCGAAGCGTCCCGGCTCGCCTACCGACCCACCACCGAATGTTCCAAGAACCGATTGTGGTCTGCACGGAGTGTTCTTAGAGCATTTCTAGCTGGGACTGTCTTGTTTTAGCACATCGGGCTTATGGTCTAAGAACAGTTTTTGGGGTTCCAGGAAGGAGCATTCCGTGGTAGGCCTAGAGACATGCCGGGACGGTCGGTCCCTGCTCAACAGGCGGTGGACGAGCTCGGGAACCCCGTCGCGACGCTGCAGGGGGCCTGGCCGCCAGGCGTCGGCAGGCTGACGCAGACCCAGCAGTCGGTGTCCTACGCGGGCGTTGGCCACGCGCTGCAGCTGGAGTTGAGCTGGACGCTGCGGCACGAGCTGGTCAAGGATCCCGCAGCGCTGGCCCAGCTGGCATGCACGATAAGAGATATCTGGCTGCGCGTGAGCAGCGCCGGCACTTCCATCTGACCTCCAGATGTGCAGGATGGGTGAAGGGCTTCGTTTTTTTGTTTTTGCTGCACGGATTTCGATTCGCACGAGGGGCTTTCGATTCGCGGCATACTTTGCACCAGCCTCGATTGGATCGTCATCTTGATGTTCACCGACAGTGCGCACAGTGCTGCTCAACTGTTTTTGGACATGCTTGTGGCTCAGTCTGCCAGTCTGCCGCGAAGAGAAATAATTCCGAAGAGCACGAGCAATATTAGGAAAGATGGACCGAAATCCACGGTCAGCCTGAGCAGATTCACGAGTCAACCACACAGGCCACCGCGGATCTTTCGATGTGGGAGCCTCTTGGAGACTAACTGGGTGCCATCTTTGGAGCGCTCTTTGGGATGTGTTGAGAGCCTTCAGACACGGAAAAGAGAAGGAGCACTTTCAATCTGCGCTGCCCTTTCTCGAGCTGCACTCCTCGCCTTTTGGAGCCCTCCTGGTATGCTCCTTGGGCGCTCTTTCAGGCAACAGGGGTTCTCTTGCAGCCCTTCCCGGCACCTCTTGGATTTATCCTGCGGCCGTACTGGATCCATCTTGCACCCTCAAGCGCCAATCGGAAGCGAAAAGGCGCGACGGCGGACATCAATGACTCTGCTAGCTTTTAGATGGCCGCTCGGGGGTACCATTGGGAGGCTTCGTGGCCACTCTGAGATGCCATCTTGGGCGATTTGGGACGCTTGTTGAATCCGTGGGGAGGGGGGTGGGGGCTGGGGGTTGGGCGGGCGCCCAGGTCCCCGGGGTGGACAACTTTCACCGATGGAACGGGTCACCCCCTCCGGCCGCCCCTCGGCCACAGCACGGGCCTGTGTTGCCCCAGGCGCGTGTCGGCATGCCAGAGCTCGGCGATGCAGTCTTCAACATAGCCGCCCAGCCAGCACGCGATGGTCCAAGATTGTCGCTGCGATACCGTTCCGAGTGGTTCCCGTCGCCCATAGGCTGCACCTTTCCATGCTCCTCTCCCCAAGAGTACAATACGCTGCTTTTTCCGATCGTGCAACAACGCCATGGGTTAACTCCTGCGGCTGCCAGTGGGTGACCAAGGCCTCTTCCTGGGAAACCCTAGTCGGAGGCTGGGTGGACAGAAAGGAAGCCAACGCGATCGGAGAGAATGTGTGGGAAGGGTAGGATTACAAAAACGGGGCGCGAGCGCACTCAGCTTACCCCATCGATTCTTACGTAGAGACGCCCCTTGTGAATACGGCTCTCCCGTGTCTCCGGACATCGTCGGTGCTGGGGGCCTGTCACTCCCGCGTGGCGTCTCTCTCTCTCTCTCTCTTTCCCTCCTCCTCCTCCTCCTCCTCCTCCTCCTCCTCCTGCTAGGCAAGACATCGAGAGCCACGGGTTCCGCAACCCCCTAGAAAAACAGGATCAACTCGGATTTGAGTGGACCTCAAAGCCTCAAAAACCCTGAGCATACGAGAAACACCAGACGGGATGTGCCTGGACTCGCCTCTTCCAAGCCTGCTCCAGCAGATCTTCTTGGCCGATCCGGGCAGATTTCCCAGGCAACGAGAAGAGAGCAAGGCAAGACGAGCAGACGAAATCACGCCACATCTGGAGCACCCAATTAGATCATCTCCCTCCTGGAGCCGAAAGTGGACAAGGCCATGAGGAGCCTTGCCCTGGATACGAAGTCCCCTGGAGGCGGCAATCGTCCGCGACACAGAGTCCGTAGGCACAGGATCCTGCACCAGAACTAGTCGAGGCTTGGGCGACTTGCCTCTCTGAAGGGCGGGGGGGTGGGAGGAGTCAGGGAGAAAGTCACCGACACGCGCCACCCGCTGCACCCAGGACTTCAACACCCGAGCACGGGCCTGCAGCGCAGAGAGGCGGGGCTGCGGGAGGACGGCAGGCCTGGGCCGCCCCCTTGGCGTGGGCGTCTGCGCTGTCGCTGCCGAATGTGACTCTCTTGGCCACTCGGCCAGCAGCAACAGCAGCACGGGTCGAATGGGCAGGCACTTGAAGGAACGACAGCGGCGGAGACGACACAACCTCGAATCCCCAGTCATCGAGCCTGTCCCAGACCTCGCGCCATAGACTGGAATGAGTGGCCAACACACGTGTCCATTCAAGCCTGCCGCGGGCTGTGACACCATCGAACACATACTTAGACTCCGTGTGCACAACAAGCGGCGGGCATGCATGCTTGAGACAATGCAGCAACGCCTGGGACTCAGCTGCATTGATGGTCGGAAAAGCAGAGAAGAGAGAGCCGCACAAGACGGCAGCCTTCTCGCAACGCGTGCGGTGCCCTGCCACAAGAGCGACCACCGACCATCCAGCAGCGGCTCAGGGTCCGAAATCACCCTCGAAGCACGACCCATTCAGGAAAACGTCCCCGGAGAACAGGCCAGGATGCCCATGGACCCAGAGGACCTCAGGAAGGTCGGGATGGGATGGGCGCTCAAAAAACGGCACTGGCATGAGACATTTGCTCTGCGAGCAGTTGTGGAGACCACCGTGCTTCGCGGCGCCACCGAACGGAGCACAAAAAACATGCGGGGATTCAAGCGATAGCGCGTGCTGCACGCACATACAATGCCTGTGCGTGGGCGTGCCGAGTGCGCGCGTGCCAACAGACAAGCACGCTATGCAAAAAAAGGTTCGACGGGGTAGCCAGTCTGCCAATGCGTCGACATTGGCCACTGCGCGCCAATGAGACAAGATCTGACATATCCCTTCTGCTGCGGCAGCGCTCTGGAGCGCAAAACAGAGAGGACAGGGGCAAGGAGCACACCGTTGGCGAACCCAGGTGCTTCAACATGTTCCGCAATCTTCTTACACTGCCACGAATATATGGCGCGCATCACGTTCTGTTTCACGACAGGAGAGCATGTTCAGAACACGATCTTCAGGAAAGAACGATTCCTCCAGAGACTTGGCTCTGACACCCACTCTCAACACGGACGCCCAAAAGGGTTGTGAAGGGCCCAGCAGTATAACCCTATGGGTAGGTAAGGGCCCTGAGATGGGCATCCACTTGCTGAAGGCTCTTCTGGAGGACATGCTGGGGCAACCAATTTTCATGGAGGCATGAGTGGAATAACTTGACGGGTATCAATGTGGCTCCAGTGATGGGGTCCAGGCCCTTGTCGGGGGCCACCACCAGAGACATCGCGAGGCTCTTACCTGCCTGCTTTGTCGCCCTCGAGCGTCGCTCGGCTCATCTGCCCCAGCACTCTCCTACGAGGTCGTCCTGACTTCAGAGCAGGCGTGCGGCCACGTCGCTTTTTGATGGCAATGTACCTGGCCTTGGTGGTGCGCCTGGGTTGCTCTATGCCAGCAGCGGGATCGACCCCGAGGTTGCGCTCCGCCGCCACGGCCAGGACGCCCAGCTGGGGAAGCCCACGGGCGGTGCGAGTGCGAAGCGCTTTCGAGTTGCTTAGGGCCCTGCTCTTGTCCACAGCTAGCCGCGTGTCCACTCTGGCCAGCTCGCTACTCAATAGCGAGGCAGCTCGACAGAGCTCGTCTCCAACGCGCTCCTCGCCACCGAAGCGTCGGAGGCCGAAATCGCCCGCGTTGACGGACGCTGCCGCCGCGCGGCGTGCAGCTTGCACCAAACCTTCTGTTTCACGCGGTTGACTTCGCTGTGCACCCCCTGGAGGTCAAAAATACGAGGGGCTCGATTAGCACCAACCAATAACCTAAGCTGCCACGGAGGAAAACCTGAGACGATGGCAGCCTGCAGCAAGTGATGCTGTTGCACGAGCTCGAACGCCCGGTGCACAACTCGGACCAGGCACTGGATATCCAGACACATTTCTCGGACGAGTGCCCCCTGGTGGCCCAGAGGGAATGCCGAACGTTGCGGCGCTGCCAGGCTGCGGTCATCGGTCGCCGAAGGCGACGCTGCACGTGACGTAGAGTGCGAAGCACCCCGAGGGGTCGAACTCCACGGGCTCTCTTCGTGATGCAGACGGTGCGGCTGCACATTTGTGGCCACTCGATCCTCTGCTCGATGTGCGAATTTTTGTCACGCAACAGCTGGGCTGCGTGATCTGGCAAGGAGAGGAAATTCCTGGGGCTAACCAGATCGAAACCCGTGACAGTCTTGATTGGGAAAGTACAAAGGACAGCTTTGAGCTCAGAAATTGTAGGGGCAGGGGGGCGATCTCTCAGGAAATCGGTCCAGTCCAAAGGCTGTCGTTCATCGTGCACCTTCCGCCATCCTTCCCACTCAGCTTGCAAACAGTTGGCCTGCCCCTGGCTTTTGGCGGGTCGCAGCGCGCAGTGGTCAAGAGCTGCCGGCTGCCACTCAACAGGCAGCGTTGACAACAACATACAGCAGAGGCGCGATTGGCTGACTGCGTGTCGACACACTCGTGCCACTGTCGCTCCTTGTTCCTGGTTGACTGTTGGTGCTGATGTAGGGTCAGCGGGGAACTGCTCGATGACACCGAATACAGTAGCACACCTGACGTAAAAAGGTCACCTTGAGGCAACGCGCGGGCCCTGGAGAGCTTGCGGAGCCTGTTGAGGCTGGAGACCCACATGTAGAATTTGTCGGGGACCTGATACTGTGCCCTGCAGAGGTCCACCAGCGCCAAGCGCACCTGCTTCCACCAGACAGCCAACGCAGACAAACGAGGGAACCTAGGAGGCCCAGGGCGCCGCGAAAACTGAAAGCGGGACTTGATGGGAATGATGCGCCCACGCTGCTTGTCAGACTCGTCCGATGGTATCTGGAATGTCCCAACCCACTCGCTCTCGGTGGTAGAGATAAACAGCATCCCACTGAGCATCGACCGAGTCTGCATCTGCAATCACTTACGAGGCGTGGTTCCAGATACTGTTATCTGGCTCGTTCTCGCGGCCAATGGGCTTCGCGACGGGGAAGCGCCTGGGCGCGTTAATCATGCGCACCTGCGCGTCCCTGGACGCTGCGGCAATGCGCAGGGGCGCGGGCGAGCGTGGGGAAGTGGGGATGTCCTCGAGGACCCTGATGGAGTGCTTGCCCAGGCGGATAGAGGAGA